ATTTAGAAATGATGTGTATTGTAGTTAATGAGTAAAATATAGACTAATTCTTTTCTTTAATGAATCTTCATGTGCAGTCTCAGTAACAACAGACTGACCCAGCAGGGGCTGCTGGCTGTGGCCAGCACATTGTGTACCTGTGCTAATGTCTCTGGTGTGGATGTCAGGTAAGTCTGCTCATAGGAAAGAAGTTAATGGAATTCTTCTAAATAATCTATAATGAAATATTTGTCCATGTCTCTCTTTGTCCATGGACTCTACTTTCTGATGTCTGCTGGTAGCTTAGGAGAAGAAGAGCGATGCCTCATCTGGTTCAGACAAAATGAAACTCGTGAAAAAACTCTGAGGTAGGAGTTCCATCCAAAATTTCAAAACACTGACTCTGATTCTGAAATGGTGCCCGTATTACCACTGAGTCACTTTGATGAGGTGAGCACAGTGACTCGAGTAAAAACACAGAATTCACACCTACTGTTTTTTTTGCTGTATACAGCAAAAAAGAAACCAGTAAAAATTTTAAATATTTTCATTTCAGATAAAGTAAAAAAAAAAAAAAGAGCTGATGAACTCATTAACACTCATGAAACTTTAGCACTAAAGTTTAGTGCTTTAGCACTAAAGTTTAGTGCTAAAGCACAATAGCACTAAGTGGTGAAAGTCACCTCGAATGCAACTGATTGGGGAACTAAAGCTAAATGATGCCTTTAAAATCAGGGGAAGGCTTCCAGCTCTCACTCTCACGTAGACAGGAAATTTGAAGAGTGTTAAAATGTTGAGAGGAGGCGTGAACTAATGCAGAGGTGCAGAGCTCCATGCAGCACTAGTGTGCAGACAGAAAAGAAAAAAAGGAAACTCACATGTGGTCTGATTGTATAAGTCAACAGCTGATGTATTCAAAGTAACAAAGTGTCATTGTGGAAAAAAAACAAAAAACAGACTCTCTCCTTTGGCTTTGTAATTTTTCCTGCGTGAGCTGCACAGGAAACATCTCACAGGTATGCACAGATATGTGAACTCTCTACATCTGAAGGTTCATGCACTGAGTCGGTAAACTGACTGACTGCATCAGCAAAGATGAACGGCTGAAAACTTCTAAATCCAGCTTGCAC